CTTTTACCAACCCTTTTAGTAATCTTAGAAAAGTGAAAAAATAAGTTGGAAGATATGGAAATAGGCTGTTCACAAAGGTCGAAATTTCCGTTTCTATTAAGAGTGGGCGAGCAGAACGAACTGATGATTAAAGATGAGATGCTAAATGTGGCGTGCAACAATAGTCGTATGTTGAACCCCCATTCATATAAAAACAATGTTTAAATGAAATTTTAGTGCTTGTTCTTTACACATGAAATAAACACTTGCAAAAGCCGAATAACTATTTTAAATAGCGTAACATTTTATGCTTTCTAAGAAATGGATACCGTTAACTTGGTCATTGCTACTGAAAACTGAAAGTATCGGCAACAATGTTTATATTTCTGGCATATTTTTTAACCTTTAATTTAATAAAACTATAACCTAACGAAAAAAGTTTTCGGGGAATTTTTATTCTTCTGCATCGAATACCAACAAAGCCACTATATTTTCATGGCCAACCCTACTATATAAACACACTTTTATCGGAAAATAATGATTCTGGATTCAGGTAATCCAAGGAAACCTGTTGCAATTTCACTTCAACGCGTTGCTAACCTTAGAAAATAATTTGACAGCATAACCTCACTTTTTAATAGCAGGAATAAATGGATTAAGGGGATGTTTGCTAAAAGAAAACTGTCGGATTTTTAATTTTGGCGTGTTATTGTCTTCACAAGAAGTTTGCGTGTAGAAAAATAAAGACGAGAAGTAGTGGTAAGCTGGTTGAAACTTAGGAAAGCTGGGGTGTAATTTATGACACCCATAATCTCTGGTAACAGTTCGGTACCCGCTTGTCGTGTATTATTGTTCGATTTTCGTTCGTCAACAGTTCAATTTTCATATACCAATTTATAAAAATGACCACAAGAAATTAATAAGGAATAAAAATCTGAATGTGTACAAAAATGAACTTCGAAAAATTAAGACAACAAATAGTAAGTCCAAGCAATTATAATCTAATTGGGAAACGGATTGATTTACAACAAAAAAAGCACTCAGCCGAATAATTATAAATGCAGTTATTTTTCGGACACAAAATAATCACTTTCGCAACACTTAAAAAGATTTGTGGCAAGTAAAACAAAATCAATTTTAAGTGTCCAAATGGTTCTACTGAGTGTGTCCCTATACTGAAATGCAACGAGAAAATCACCAATTTCTGCATCAGTACGTACCTATATGTCATGATGTAATGCAAATTATAAAATAAACTAGAGACCAATAATTTGTTTCGTTTTTATTTACTTATGCGTATTTATAAATATACCAAATTGTTTTACTTAAAACTAAGTACTTCAATTATTTGGTTTACATATTTCAGTTATAACTGGTTCCCTATCTGGTTAGTATCGGCTAAGTTCAAACTAAAGAGGCATAGAAACTACCTGTGTATACTGAATGGTTATCCGGCTAATTATAAGGTTTATGGTAATCTTTTATTCAACAAAATAAAATTCTTTCAGGTAATACACTTTGATCTTTGACAAAAAGCCGAGAAGCAATAGGATTGGTTATTATATAAAGTAACAATGATGAAATTTCTATTAGTAACATTGACTTACACTTTATGTAAGTGTATAAAAACAGCGGCGGGTCTAAAAAACAATAATATTTAAATGCACAGAAATTAGGAAATAAAAGCATAATAGTAGTAAAACTAATTAAATGATGATTAAACTGCATTTTTTGTCTGTAGTTTTAGTAGGTTTTTGACATAATAATTCTGATAAAAGTTTTTTCCACTTTTTCGTGGCTTTGAAAGTAAAATCTTCGACTTTCGTCCCATTTCAAAATTTACTCTTTATATATTTCAATGGTCACAACGAGTTCACTAACTACACTGAAGTAAATGTATGCAAAGATTAAATTTGTCACCGAAAAGATGTCGGAAGTAATAAATTATCCCATCGGTCCAAGAACGTTCGGTGGGTGTTATATCCATTGATCTAATAAAGGAGTGGATGGAGCCTTGTATACGTTTCCATACGCGAGCGAGTGTAATCAACATAAGAAAGAAACAGCTAGAGCGGTTATGCATCAGTGGGGAAAGGACGGCTGACCACGTATCACGTGTTGGGTGGCAAGAAACGCTTCATTTGAACGGGAATTAATACGTTTTCTTACGAATTTGTTCAAACAATCAATTATAACAAACGTCTGTTAATGAAAACTATATTTTTACAGTTTACATTGAAATTATATGTAATGTGAAACAACAAAAATCATGTTAAGTGGTGGAGATGGTCTTTTAAGAAAATGAAATGTATAGAGAATCTACAATATATTACGAATTCAGTTAGTACAATAATCTTCTACAAGTTAACTAATCTTGTGGTGTATGTTCATTGGTAATTCTGAAATTTTTAGGATAAAAGTAATTAAACTTTCGATAAAAGTGACAGGGTGCCTAATTAAATTAAACATATTAAATTGTGTGGAATTTTCTACTAAAATCTATTTTCTAAATCCACGTACAAATAACTAAAGTAATAATCAATAGATATAAAATTCCCTCTTTTTACCTATGTAGCAATAATTTTCGGTTTTTTTTTTTCGTAACTCGGAATGTTTAGGGAATCTAACAAATTTTTTAAATTATTTACGAAATCCTTCGTCTGTGTATGTGATTATTACCTAAGAAATGAAACAGGATTGCCTTCTTTGCACGTTCTATTCAATTATACGCACAACACAATTTCACGATGTTTAACAAATAGTCCAATAAAATCCAACTTAAGAAGACTCTAGACATTTAAATAAGGTAACCTGAGCCTAAAAACCGTAAATTTGCAAAAATACACCTTCAAACACCATGCGACAGCACGAAAGAAACCTCTAGAAACGCAGTGCTCTGCAGTTTCGCGTCAATGTTTTGCCACCCAGAGAGCCCTATCTCTGTCCCACTGTGTTGACAACGCGCGTCTCTCTCTAAGTTACTTCCATATAATATTATTTCTATGGTTATATCTAAAGGCCTGACAACGATCTACCAAGTACGTAACAGTGGCGCGCGCGAGAGAGAGGATGCCTTGACGTAAACGTGTCGGACGGTCGGGAGCTGCTACCCGATACCCCGATGGTCGATGTTTATTACTTGTATGAAGCCCTCAGTGTTTACGTCCACGTGCAGAGTGGTCATTTGGCAGGTCGTATTAGCTAGAAACGTCTTTTATAATTTTGAAGAATACGTTTAGTTTTGATTTTTTATATTTATTTGTTACATCAGTTTGCAAACGCGCGAGTATCAGGTCCCGCCACTGCACTCGATGTAGCTGACCGCATCGAGTGGTCGATACTACTGCGCGCGGAGAGTGCCACACAATAGCTGGGGGATTGCATTTGGTAGATAAGTGTCAGGACAGTGGTTATATCCCAACCCGAGAGAGACCGCAGTAAGAGACAGCAAATGGAACGGATAAAATAAAGCTTCAAACATGATCAGTTTTAAACCAAAATTATGAAGTTTTATAAATCGAACATTTTTTTTTCTTTTTGAAATATGATAGTAAACACTTCAAAGAATGTCCATGACTTACTTTAATGTGAATTTTATAACTATGGTCGGCACAGTCGGACCTAATATTAGTGTGATTTTGAGCATATTTGCGATTTTATTAGAGCAAAACAGGTCATTTTTTCTCCAATTTTATAAGTTCCGGACACTAATAGCATATCAAAGATATTGTAAAAAAAAAATTGGGTTCAGATTCCAACTAGTTGTCTAGTATTTGTGAAACAAAATCTATTGTAAATTCACTGAAAACTAAACCGATAATATCACCTTAAAACGTATAAATGGCTCTATATTTACCTTAACTAACGACTCAAATACCTACATTTCTTCACACATCTCATTAACATATACCAGGTACGCGTGATAATCTCGATTTACTGATAGCAGAAACAAAGGCGACAGAAAAAGTTACTTTTTCTGACGCCGTTTTTCTGACGGAAGAAAAAAAAATATTTAATCTCATTTTATCTGCCAGGGACATGTGCAAACCTTCCAACGATTTTAAGATATTACTTCCGCAACTGACTCGTCCTACTTGTTTGGTTCACACATTAAATAGAGTGGCTGAGGAAGTTACGAACTACTTACTTTCGAGTTGTAAAAGATTTAATCAATTATGTTAAAAATAAAATCTTCAAGTCACCTTTAAAAGTACAATTTTATACACCATTTTACTCTTGCGCTTTGAGTCAGTTATTGTTAGATGGGGAAGAAGCCGTTACATTTCATGCAAAAAATTACGAAGCAATAAAAATTTATAAGGCTAAAAATTTCTAACTCGATACCAATATAAATGAATTAAGGTTTTCCGCAAGGAAAGGGTTATGCCGGCGATGGCAGGTGTAATCCGGAGTCCGGAGTGTTCTTGTCGGCGAAGTAGCTGTTTACACCCACTGGTTTGGTACAGTTATGTGTTATTTTTATTAATGTTAAAATTTTTCAAATATAGTAATAAAACCTGGATTTTAAAGATACACAAATGCATGAAACTTTTTCCAATCAGGATTAAGATCAACATAAAAATGTGTATTTTGTCAGGACTAAGAATTTTTTTGAACTCGTTCATTGTAGTAAATTTTGTAATATTAAATCACATAATCATTCTGCATACATATATCAAATATTTTTGGAAAAAAACAAAATATTTAAAAATTTATGTAGAATAAAATAAGAACAGTATGTGATTTGTACGCTTTCGCATTCTCCTTTCACTGGTCAAAAGCTCATTGCGCGTGTAATAACGTAAATAATTATTAAATTTGGTGTAACCAATTATAAGTATACCTTTACATGTTGAGTTTACATTTCCGGAATACTAAATTTAATAATCCAAATTCTCTTCCGCATTTTCCATTCCGCTCGGCCGATTAAAAACAAACGGGTGCATGCATTTCGTGTCTGTTTTTGTTTTACAAAAAGAAATAAAATTAACCCGGTAATGAAAACACTAATATCTTGTTACCTGGAAAATCGTCCCTCTAGCCGAATTAAAACCGGTGTAGAGGCATGCAGAGTCCGCGTCGTTTCTACACGAGTTATTAGCGATTATTTTGGTTCAGCCTGAAACAAAATAAATAAAAAACAAATTAGATATTTGGAAATTTACGCTTTTATAAAATATATCGAACAATACAAAGAGAGGTATGTTATTCTTATGATGAAAAAATAAATTTCGATATTCATTTATCACTGGTTGCTGGTTAGGCGTGGCAGGTGGGCGGTGCCCACCCGAATAATGCCAGGATCGACATTCGAAAAATGCTGAATCAACGGTTTAAAGAAATAATGAACTGTCAACATTTAACAACATTAACAATTTGTATTGATGATTTAACCTTTTTTATTACTTATTTATACCTTGTAATTATATCAAAATGATTTTGTGTCGTTTCACATGATATATGTCAAATGGACCTGTGAAAATGTTAAAAATGTACGATTTCGATTATCATTTATTGCAACGAAAAACGTAAGATAACCTCGACCACGGTATCGAAGGTTACAGTAAGGACACCTTTTGAAAGGTCCATAAGAAAAGCACGTAACGGACTTGAAGAACAATAATAATGGACCGTTGGGGAAGGACATGACCTTGATAAAATTTACCAACATTTCAAAAATTTGTATCAAATTTGACATGTTAAACGACTTTAGACCTTGTGTATTGTGTGTGAGATATTTGATGTTGGGTATTTAATCCGTACCTGAGAGCTAAAAGCTAACTCCATGGTTCCAATATTGCGTCATTTGGAAAAGTACATGTACTGTAAGTTATTGTGGTAAATGTAATTGAAGTCCAAACTGTGATTGCAATACAAAAAAAAAGTAGAACATTGTAACTAATTCATGATAATGGTTTGGATAAAAAGGGACTTTCGCAATTTTAATTTTCAGGTAGAAAAACTAAAAGCTTTTGCGTTTTATACCGACGTTTATGCTGAACTTTTTTGGAGTTTTAACTCCATTCTCTTCGTATTATGGAACACGTATACGCGCCGGAATAGAGATCGAGATTGAGCTACGAGCTAACGTTTTTCCGTACCGACATCCGACACTGACACCAGTCTAAACATAGGCATGTAACGCCGCGCTATAGAAAGAGAAAGAGATAAACTGGCGTGAATGTGTAGGTAAGCGAAGAAACAATGTGCTGTTCCGGTGCGGAATCGAACCGTACATATCCCGTTCGCCGGTCAGGTGCCTTCACCACTAGGCCACAAAGCGCTTGATCTTTACTTCGCTTACCCAGCTATTATTGTGCCGCCACAAATGTAATCATGACGCGCTGGATTGTCGGGACTCAGTAGCGGGTGATAATCACTGAATTTAATCGTCACTGTTTCCATAAATACAATTAACGAAAACGTAATTAGTAAAACGGCTAAGTAAATGAGAATGGGAATTAACAGCAGAGTGCAACGAAACAACGTTATTCTATTCTCAAACAAACGAAGTGCAGCCTGTAATTACAATGAAGTCCCATCCCGTACAAGCGGTATTTTTACACAATATTATTGGAGTTTTAACTCCTTACTTTTCGTATTATAGAACACGTATACGATGCACACCGGAACAGGATGTGGATGGAAATATTAGATTATACATTAAGGGAGAGAAGTGCATGATTTTTCCTGGGGCGTATGAGTATGTATACAATTTTTTGCACTCGCATAGACTATTACACAGTCTTTCAACTGATAAAAGATGATATGATTAATAAAATAGTAATCATAATAGCCTTTGGATGATATGTCATGACAACAACAAAAAAATTGGTCTACAGTTGTTTCGACAGAACTGCCCTCGCTCCAGAAGTACAAAGACTAGTAAACATCCAGCATTTTCTAAAAACTATAAAATTTGATTTTGTGGATTTTATATTTTTTATGAGTTTTTACTATACAAAATTTTGTGATGACGTCAAATATCATTTTTGCAAGAACACGTATTGCAAATTAGGTTGATGCAGTACTAATAATAACGTATTATATCCCCCCCTTCCCCAAAATTTAGGGAAAATGGGGTGAGCCGTTTTAATCAATAAAATAAATTAATCTATTCATGCAAATTTAAAAAATATTAATAGAAAATCACAAATGTAAATTCATCATATTTTGCACAATTTAGATAGGATTTATTTGGCAAAATTTTGACATGAGATATATTTTGATTAAAAATTTACCAGGCGTGCAATAACTTCAAAACGTCTGCAAGATTTCCGTTCTGCACTTCTTGATTTAATCAATAAGATAAATTGAGTCATTAATTATTTCTTTTACATAACCCTGTATGAACAAATCGAAAAAATATGAATGCAAATGCAGTAATTTCAAAAGTGTGCGGTATACTTCATTGAATGATAAAGAAGCAAAATAAGAATTATACGTCTTCATCTGTGGCAGAATCGTAGATCGACGAATCTGCAATTGGTACAAGAGAATTCGTCTTCGCCAAAAATATGCATTTCTGGTAACGTAAATTGCAAAATTAATAATTATTTAATTGTGAAATTGTGACTTTATAAAAATTAAAATACTTTATCTACCGTTGCTGTTAAAGTGTAATTCTATCTACCCTTGCAGTTACAGTGTTACTTAGACTATTATTTTGAATGGAACAAAGCAATCTTTAACATCTGCTACAGAAAAAACAACTTTACTCTATAACATTTTGCTCATAAAATTTGTTTTAACGCATTATTTGAATTTTATTTTTACCTGATCTTTTTTTCGAAAAATATTTCAATGCCTTTGCCAAATCGAAATATGCATTTAAAATGTTCTCAGCTCAAAAGTTGTTGCAAGGAAGTTTTTCGATATTTTTTCTGTTTCTGTGGGAAAGACATGCATCAATAAATGGCAGTTTTATAGTCCTATTACTATTTGTAGTTTGCAAATAAAGTTATTTCTTTGTTGCATTCGGTTCTTGTTGAATGACAAAATACGACAGAACATTTTTCTAAATACGAAATGAAGAGTGAGATTCATAGTTATAAAATAATGCTTTAAATTTTGTTTTCAGGGTTTTATCCTTAGAACGTTATTTTTGTATATACTAAAATTGATTGACTTGATTAGATATGAGGGGCTTAATGGCATAATAGCATCTCCAATTATAAAATGACTCCTCCTGCAAAAAAATTTTCTACAGTGAAATACGAGTTTTATATTTTTGATACCACACTAAAATTCTAAAGGGTCGTTCCTCGTACGAAATTTTAATTACTGTGGAATACTTTTTTTTGGTGTAAATAATAACGAATTGAAAATTAGTCTTAAATTATTACCAATGACCGATTATTTATATGCAGAGCTTTAAATGCCATATACTAAACATGTACCAGCAATTAATAGTAACATTACCATACGACACTTTCATTATTTCTTAAACAATAACTTCTGTAGTTTATTTATTTATTTATTTAAAAATGAAATAGGGCAGAGGCTGGAGCCTGTTATGCCCAAGGGACAGTTGTTACAAATTAAATTTATTTACATCCTATGTATTATCAGTTATGATGACCGACGAACCAGGTATCTAGTGCTATCTTGAAACTGATTAAAGACGAACTTTCGATTATATTTGGAGATAGAGAGTTCCAAATACCGAAAACCCGCTCTGGGAGGAAGAATTGTCTCATTCTTGTTTTGAAAGCATATTTACGTAGCTTTAGTCGATGCCCTCGTGTTCTTGGATCAGCAGATGTTGAAAAAAGATGGCGAATAGGCGAATCGAGTTGCGATAATATTTTGAAGGTCGTGATAACATCTCCTCTAACTCTACGGTGTTCAATTGTCGGTAGTTTCATTATCTTAAGACGATCTTCATAGCTAGGACGATGAAAACCAAAAGGAATACGGGTGATGCGACGTTGAACGGACTCCAGCAGCTGTTTATCCCTAACAAGAATTGGATGCCAAACTGAATTGGCGTATTCTAGTATTGGGCGTACATATGTCTTGTGCAGTTTTGCGATAATTTCGATGGGGGCATAGGGGAAAGCTTTTCTTATCAAATACCCAATGGAGTTGGCTTTTTTGACAACAGATAAGATGTGAGAAGACCAGGACAAATCTTCTGTAATGGTGACGCCCAAGTCAATCTGCGACGATACACACTGCAAAACGTGGCCACCAAGATTATATTGCATTTTGGGATTGTTCCTGCCTAGATGAAGTACACAACATTTTTTTATATTGAAGGGCATAAGCCATTTTTGCGTCCATGCATAAAGTGTTATTAAATCCGCCTTTAAAACATTATTATTCTTCGAGGTATTATACAATTTCAAGTCGTCAGCGAACAGAGCGAAAGGACTGGAAAGTTCTACGGTAAGATCGGCGATATACACTATGAATAGTATGGGGCCTAAAACTGTTCCTCGTGGAACCCCACTTAGGACCTTTTGTGAATTACTAAGGCATCCATCAATTTTAACTCTAAATGTTCGAAACGATAAAAAGCCTTCTATCCACTTAAGTAATCCACCTCTAATTCCAAAATGTTCAAGTTTGTGCAACAAGCGACGCGTCGGGACTTTATCAAATGCTTTGATGTAGTCAAAATAAATTACATCGACAGGATTATCGTTGTCAAGTTCTCTGGACCAGTCGTTGAGGCAACTAAGAAGATTTGTAATTACCGATCGTTTGGGCACAAATCCGTGTTGCTCGGCCGGAATAATCTTGTGTTCAAGAAGGAACTTCATCATAGTATGGCATATAATGGATTCCATCAATTTACTAATCAGAGATGTTAGGCTGATAGGACGAAAATTTCCAGCATCAAGTTGGTCCCCTTTTTTGAAAATCGGTTTGGCAGTTGCTGCTCTCCAATCGTTAGGCAATTCACCGGTGATAAATGATTGCTGCATGAGGAGACTCAAGGGCTTACATAAAGAAAGCGCACATTCATTCAAAATGGCAGCACTCAAGTCGTCAGGTCCGGGAGATTTAGTTTTCTTCAACTTTCGGAGCCTAGTGTATACTTCTTGTTCAAGGAACTCAACATTAATTAGTAAGGCAGTACATCGAGGTATAAAAACTACAGGAGGATTTGAA